AGCTGTACTCTGAGGTGTGGCAGGGGCGCCTGGAGCCTTTCTGGAATCGAGCTGGGACTTTAGACACTGCGTGTAAGTGAGGTCATAAAGGAGATAAAAATGTCTCACCACATAGCCTGGCCATGACAACTGTTTCGGCACACCCTGCACGGCCTCAGGAAAGTTACAAATTATTATGTGAATTATTGGTACGATCATCTTCATGTGTGTGTTTTTAAAACAAAGGCGGGCAATGACTGTTATTGACTAATTGATTGGGAAACCTAATCAATCAATCAATCAATCAATCAGAAATCCCTGTGCACCTTCTGCATAAGCACTTTCTCCACAGTGGAAGATGACACATCTGAGACAAGTGTGAAATTCATGCCCACATTCACAGTGCAGCCATCCATTCTACTGCCAGTTCCGTAGAAGGCCTCTGTAGACTCTCTCAGGCTGGATGAGTGCTGTCCACTCTAATCTGAGTGGGACAAATTAGGAGGCTACTTCTGAGAGGGGCTGAAGAGAACTACCTTATTAGGAATCACATCCTCCCACTGTTTCACGAGGTCTCTTGTATTCCACCAGACGATTTTGCAATTATCACGTGACCTGTCAGCAGGGTGTAATTACAGTGCTGCTGATCTGGGGGGGGAAGGATTTCAAATGTGTTGATCCTGGGGACATGTCAAGTTATTCAGTGGTTACTTGAGTGTTTCATCTCTGTGCGCCTGTGGTCTTTTCCATTGTAGTCTGGCTTTGAAGCTCTAATTTGGAGCCAGTGTACATTTTTGGAATAGTCCATTGACAGGGAACACAGTTCTGTGGATGAATTTGAAGTCTTATATGACTAAACACTCTCTTTTTGACTTGTGAAAGAGCTTTCCATTTTGTGTTTGTAATGCCTCTCTGTACCACAGCCTGAGCATCTCAAGGCTTAAAAACAAATCCCTTTCACTGATACACAGTATATATTAATAGATGGGATCCTGTTTTTAAAATGATCTGAATTTGCAGTAAAAACCTGGGAGACTGACTGCTCTCCCCTTCATTACATTAAAGCTGTAAATGCATGCTGGGCCACAATCAAAGCACCGCAGAGATGCAAGAGCAGGAAGTCTTCTTCATTAGTTACTTGCCATTAATTATTTAAACAGCTGCCACTGAGCGCTTGAAAGTAACAGGAGCAGTACCCTGTGAAGCCTGTAGACTTGTGACACATGGTTGTAGAGTAGGGTGGCGTGGTGACGCAGCAGTTAACATTTCTGCCTCACAGTGCTGGGACCCTCCGGGTTCAATTCTGGACCTGGGGTGCTATCCGTGTGGAGTTTGTATGTTCTCCCCGAGTTTCCTCCAAGAGGTCCGGTTTCCCCCCACAGCCCCAAACCATGCCGGCAGGTTATTTGGCTTCGGGAGAACTGTGAGTTGTGTGAGTGTGCCCTGTGATGTACTGGCTTCCCTTCCGGAGTGTGCCTCTGCTTGCACCTGTTGCTTGCTGCCAGGACAGGCTCCAACTCCCCCGGGACCAGGAATTGGAAGGAACGGTGCGAACAAAAATGGGTGGATGGGTTATGGAGTGAAGATGGATACTCTGTTCAATTTCTGCCCTAACATATTGAACACCAGAGTGTTCTAAAGAGCGTGTGAGCCCAGCCGATATCATTAGCCAATTATAGTTAGGAATTTGTCCAGATCACGAAGCACACAACCGAAGAATCTCAGATGACATATTTCCACTGTACTGTACAGACTGTACAGTGCTAATAAGCAACAGCTTTCTTTCTTTGGACTCCTGAGTATTACAGAGACTTTTTTCAAGACCCATTTACACTGAAAAACCCTGGTGAGAAATAGAGACATTGAAATGTGAGGGCCCTCTCATTTTGCACATTTCAGATCCCTACCTAAACCTAACAAAATGTAGTCTGAACAGCTCGAGGAATTTGTAATAAAACCTTAAAAAGCACAAAATAGGAATGACTGAAATGATAGAATAGGACCTCCTAATCATGAAATCATAAAAAACGAAGAGGATTTTTTTCCTCCATTTTACATACTACTCCACACTATACCTATACTTTGTGGGCTAGCAGGCTTGGGCTCAGCATGTACAGACATGCCCTAGAACTGTGCATATACAGTCATATTGTCCAGCATCTGGAAGCTATGTACACATCCTGTGCGAGTGCTTAAAATAATCATACTTATTATATCGCATGAAGAAATCCATCAAGGCATAAAATATAGAAAAGCAAACTGTCTCCTGTCTCTACTTAAGATTCCTTGTCCAGGGTGCAGACCTGCTTTGTACCCTGTTTTTTTTAGACAGTCTTTGGATGCCTGTGACTCTCACCAGGAATAAGCGGCTTTCTAAGAATGGGTGGATAATGTTTTTATGATGAACAAAATATTTTACCATTACTGTCAACTAATTGTTTCTGAATATTTTCATGAGTAAGACTAACTGAGGAATAAAGGTCAAACATTTTGACAGAAGCCACTTTCACATTGGACATATTGACAATGAGAGGAATCATTTATTCATGTTTGTTACCAAATATTTTTAATATTTGCCATTTGTGTTGCCTAATTCCTGCAATGTAGTAATCACCTTATGTTGGTTACTAGGCCTTTGAATGCATGATTCCAAATTGTCCTTGTCTGAAGATTATTCAGAATCATCAGGCTGATTCTTCTTTTTTTTTGTTAAAAGAGCTTTTCGGGGAAGAAACCAATATTTTGTTTCCAAGAATGTGTCACAGAGATGAAAGTGACCTTCATCTGGGGTGCATCAGTTTCATTTAAACTACTTCTGGGTAATTTACACAAACACAATGCAGAACTGATCTTTGACGTTCAGTCCTGGCAGTCCGTTTCATTCTTACATGGAATGCAATTCATAAGGTTTTCATTAAGTTCGGATCTCTACATGCTCATTTGGGCGTATCATGCAAAAACTTGGTTTCAACTCCGAAGGGGGAAAAAAAGACTATAATAAATGTGAACTTTAAGAAGGCGAGCGTAATGCTTTTCACGTGATTTTTGTGTATGCCATCAAGAAAATGAACACATTCACTGTTCTTCCCCTAAAACACATACCAGGATACAATGTCATAGCACGATAATTAACCATTAATATATCCCCGTTCTTATACAAGATGTTAAGTAAAAATAGATTTTCCTAAAAATATACTGTACCACAGCCCTCCAAAACAAAGGGAACAAAATACATTATCCTGCTCATAACTTTTAAAACAATATTCTATTCTACGCTTAGCCCAAGCGTTTATATCAAAGGCGCTTTCCTGAAAACAGCAGGAAACACTGTTAACACGTTAAAGTAAAGTAACACCCTTAAGAAAGGGCGGAGGTGTTCCTAGATCTCTACGTGACAAACCCACAAATGACCTTTTGTTGTGCAAATTAACGTTTAGTGTTCCTTATACATCTGGCGTGTTGTTACAGTGAGCGTCTTAGCGCGTAAAACGGTACTGTCCACACGCACAAAAATCAAAATAAACCGCAACGACGCTTCTTCTGTACGCCGCCGGGTTGCCAGTCCTCGTCTTACAGGGTCTCCAGTGTGAGGTCCTGGGCAAGAAGGCCGCTCCCGGGCAGGCTGAGGGGTCACGGATGAACAGGAGCCGACAACGGGGACACCGGTGCCTGCTGTCCATACGGCCGGGTGCACATTCCGCAATACCGGGGCCCTTCGCACTCCAGGGGCGCTCTCAGGCGAAAACGAGCCGCCGCGCTTTGAAACTACCTGCTGTCATTTCACTAGATTATAAACAACAACAACAAAGCGATTTCCTGAGTCAGAAGTGGAAAATTGCTTCCTGCTCTTTGTCTGAGTGTGCCTCTGGTGGTGGTGTTCCTACGTCACCTCTCGCCCCTCCCGATGTGTTTTTATTTTGCCGACAGCTTCCAGGCCTATTCCGATCGCCTCCCGTCCCCCCCCTCCCCGCAAGTACGCGACCGGTGAGGCCCAGAGCGAAGCCCTCATCTGTCAGGTCTGATGGCCTCGCAGTCGTTCGGCGACTCTGGAAAGTGGTCCCAGACCTGTTTCATCACACACACACCCCCTCCCCCAGAAATGTTAGATTTCAGTCCAGCCCATCCCCCCGCATTACAGCTCTCCGTGTCAAAACACCCCTCCCCCCCGCCCGCCGCACACGCTAGCTGCTCCATTCACTCCGCCGGCCAGACAGCACGGTCCGGGGCTCGCTTGCACAGAGCGTCATGTGACTCCCCTGAAACAGACGAGGCATTACATCAGCCCAGGCAAACCGCCACCAAAATAAAATACTCTTAAACGGGCGACGCCAAGGAGTGTGGAGAGTACCGATACTTCCTAGGCTTTGGAAGGAATTTATTTTTTTCTCAACAGAAACAAAAACGTCATACGTTAAGACACACAACCACATGGACTGTCCGTCTCTTAACGTTTTAACACGTTATTAGAATTCGATTCATCTCCGCTCTGTGTCTTATTTTTCACCAGTTTTACATGACCACCTTTTTAGCCAGGACAACCGTCCGTGAGCACGCTTCTGCAGCCGGCTGGCTGTCGGTTTGCGGCGAATTCATGTTAAACTGTGAGGCCAAGTGAGTTCTCCAGTGCCGCAGGGTGCTGTACTTATTCGTTTATCAGTTTCTGCATTTTCCTTGCACACGGCCATTGTGAAACAGGCCCGCAGTGATGCCCTGCCTCTTCACTCTGCAGGTGGGCTGTGAAGACAGTCTGACTGACCCTCCCCCAGCGCGGTGGTGTGTATTTATGAATGTGGTTCTCTCGTCAGGCGAGACGCTTTCGCGCCGGCTGGGTTCAGGAGTTGCCCTTTTAAGAGAATCTCCCTCGTTAGTATTTAAATCTGCGGAGCCTCCACCCCGCTCGCCTATTGGTCGAGGCGGACTTGGCGGTGCGTAATTTCTCAACGTTTGTAAATGAAGATCCGCTCTGTGATTGGCTGTCGTAAGCGTCACGCCGGGGTATATAATCGCGTTAAAAATAGAAGTCCAGTTATTTCCTTAGAAGCGCGCAGGAGAGAGGGGTGGTCTGTAGTATTTAAAAAAATAGTATTTATTGTGGTTGTATACAGAGCAAAGATCATCCCTCCTATTTATAAACTGTAAAAAAAAACAACTAATTAGATTTGTTTTAAATCATAGTTAAAAAGCTCCCGAAAACAAGAGTGCCAACATACCTAGTTGCGGCTATATAAACTTTTCCGTAGCTGGTATTAAGTTACACCGGTTTTAAAAGTTTCGTGTTTTACGAGCCTCTTGGGTTTTGTTTTGAACTGAGAGCTCAGGCGGTGATCCAGAGCAGCCCGAACCGGACCGGGACCGCCGCAGGAGGGGTTGCCTTTGTTGCGCCGCGCAGTTGACTGGTTGACGATCAGAGACCATGGAGTACAAGGTCGAGGCGCACCGGATCATGAGCATCTCCTTGGGGAAGATCTACAACTCCCGGGTGCAGAGAGGCGGAATCAAGCTGCACAAAAACCTGCTGGTGTCCTTGGTCCTCCGGAGCGCCCGGCAGGTCTATCTCAGTGAGTACTACCAGGGTGTCTGCCTTAACGCCCAGCACATGGACACGGCGCCGCAGTGGGGAGAGGGGGCGATCGTGGACTCTACCCAGGACAAAGCCGGCTCCGATCCGGCGGGGAGCGCACAGGGATCCCCGGACAGCGGCTCTACGCTCCCGCCCGAGAGCTCCCACCCACTGCCCGCTGCAACTGCCCTGGAAAGCCCCGCCGCTGGCCGGCAACCCGAAACCGCAGAGCCTGGCGAGCAGAGCGCCCCCAGCGCGCCCTCCTCACCCGCCTGCTGCTGCCGCCCGACCGGGGAGCCGCTGGGGGAGCCTGTCCCGGCGCCGGCGGACTTGCCGTGTGCCCCAGTCGCGCCATTCCCTGCCCGCAGCCACGGCGCTGAAACGCCGCCCTACAAGGAAGCGACACCCCCCGAAGAAGGCGCGGGCGGCTGCGGGGAAGCAGAAGTCAAGGGTGGCGAGAGTGAGTCATCCGAAACCAGATTAAATCACTCGGCGGCCGCTTCCTGCTGTAGGAAGAGAAGTGCCGAGAAGGCGCCCCACGCCGAGTCCCCCGTCAAAAAAACCAAGCAGACCTCCCCCAGCGAAGAGGCCGAGCGAGAGGAAGAAATGGACACTAGCAACGTTTCCAGTTTAATCACCATCTTCGGCTCCAGCTTCTCGGGGCTGCTGAGCAAAGACAGCGCGCCGCAGGCGGAGCCCCCCGCCGGGGACAGCGACTCCGCCTCGGGGCAGATCTGCTGCGAGCAGATGCTCAAGAACATGAACCCCTGGAGCACGGCGATCGTGGCGTTTTAATGCCACGGAGGGTCACCTGGCCGGTGTGGAAATGTGTTGAGGGATCTGTCGTGAAGCTGTGACCAGGCGGGCGCGCCATCGCCTCCCCCCTGCCCGAGAGGCTGGGCCCCCTCTCTGTGCCCGACCACGTGGAGAGCGGCGTGGGGCTTTCCCGAGCCGCGCGGAGATGTTTCCACTCGCGTTATGTCGGGGCATGCCTGAATCGGGCTGTAGACTGTGAACTGGTGCTGGTCCTGACGCAGGGATTAATAAAGTGGACGCGATCTCGAGTGGAAGGGGTCGTTTAATTGGATCGGGATGTACGTTTTAGCTGGAAAAGTGTGTTCAGAGATTTCCTCGCCCCTTTGGTAACTTTGCACTTTTATTTCGATTAACTGTTTTACAGCCCTTGAAACGATCCCGGAATTAAACGCTGTCGTTCATTGCGGAAGTCCCGGTTCAAGGAATTAAAAACCTCAAAGAATAGTATGTGGCGAGCTGTTACTATTTCACATGTATTACTTGATCAAAGAATCGGTGCTAAACTCATTTGTAGCCACATGTTTTAAAGGCGAGGTCCTAGGGATGTTGAAAGTCTTTGTTTTATAAAGACCTGTATATATTTGTATGTTTTTTTTGTACAGACCATTCTTTTCTTCCTGAATCTGTATTTTGGTATTTGCGCTTCATTATGGATTTTATTTGCGTGTTACACACGTATTAAAACCTTTTTGAACATGAAATCCCTGCTTTCTGCCTCTTCTCTCCAGTGCACTAAAGCTGAAGTGATCTGTAGTGGCCGTTACGTGGCTGCGAGTCTGGAATGTATTTGGGGGGGCGGGGGGGTGCTGAATGCATCTGTCTTTATTCTGTGGGGGCAAAGGTCATGGCGCCTCGGGGCTCTACAGCTGAAAGGCTGCTCTGCTCGGGGATTAGAAAGCGTCCGGTCTCGCCGCTCACAACCTTGGCGTGAAAGCCACGTATCTTCCATTTGACTACCCATCTTTATTCTTGTTTACGTCTTGAACTTCCGTATTTACTGTGAGAACGGAGTAAGGAGCAAGGTCCTGTTGTGTAAACTCCCTCTGTGTTGCAATATTCGTCGTTTTCTCTTGGCTATACGGGTTCTCCGTGCGAAATCGCTTAAGGGAAAAACAAACCGTAATGTGAAATTGAACCTTGGGTGTCGTACGCATTTGACCTGAGCAATAGTGAAAGTATTTACACCTCTGCCTTTTTTGATAAAATTGGACTTTAAAAAAAAAAAGGCTAAGCTGTGAAAGGTAAATGAAACCAGACCCGAGGATCGATTAACTCGAGGTTTTGGTCACTCGCGTTTCCTCTGAAAGTTACAAAGAAAAAAAATACTACAGCCGGCTTTAAAAGTCTGGTGAGGGGGTAAACCCGTGTTTCCTGCTGTAGTTTCTACCCTTAATCGCCGGTAATTGGAGTACTGTATTCTGCTGAAGCACCTGGGCCGGGTCATAAATATTTAATAGGAGAGTGCTTGTACGAGTCAACACAACAGCCAGGCGCAGTTTAAAAATAGCCCTCTCGTCTGTGCAAGAGCGCTTCCCTTCCGCCAGGCAATTGGCTGGAGCGAGAGACGCCTGCATTATTGATCGAGGAAAGGCAAGCCGCGGTTTCTTCTCGCCGTTTTCATCTGTTGTGTCTGTAGCTGCCGCGGGAGGAAGAGCGCAAGCAAAGCAGTCTGTCGGTGACGTCTTCGCCGGGCCGTCAAGGGGAGGCAGTGCCCGTCTCGGATGTCAGTGGACCGAGGACAAGACGCCCGGGAAGACTAGTCGCATGTTACAGGAAACATCGCGGCTGTGTCTTGGGATTTCTTTTCACTTTTTCTCAAGAGCGGAAAGCATCACATGGCTTTTGCTTTAGCAGATTCCAAAAGGCGCCTGTTCAGTCAGATTGTGTATTATAACAAATGAGTTGGGGGTCAAATGTAAAAGAGATCTGTTCTCACACCTCGGATTTTTAACATTTTCTTTCGTGCTGTGACGTTTTCTGAAGGGGCCCGATGAAGACATGCCTGGCCTTTAACATCTTGGATTCCCCCAAAGTCTGTCTGTGCTTCTTTTTCAGTAATTTCCTCATAACCCGGACTTTCAAAATGAAAAAGACCTTTCTTGATACTGGAAATGAAATCTCTTGCTGAATGCTAGGGAGGCAGTATGTGTATGTTAAGGCAAACTGCCAGTAGGGTCTCTGAAGCAACAAAAGGGACAAATTTGCTTATGAAAGGGTGAAAGCTGGGATCCCCAAGGGAAAATCTGATGCGTTTTCACACACACCAATGTTTTGTTTTAGTATGTTCAGGTTCTGTAAAAGAACTGAAAACCAACAAGCCATTCTAGGTTATTTCTGTCACTCAGTTGCTCTCCCCAGCGTTATACTTTTAAAAACTCCTAATGCTATGGTATACGATCGTGGTTCATTTTGTGGGCTCAAATCCTGGGTTTGTTGCTACAGTCACTCCTTTAAATGGCCTGTAGTGTAATGGGCCTCCAGGTCATACATCATTAATGAGAGTTTGCGCTGGATCACTAAAGTTAAATAAGAGCACAATGAAACTTAAAAACTGAAACGGGAAGCAGAGTCTTTTTGGCTTTCATGTCCTCTTGATGTGTTTCTTCGGATTCAATTTTGCTTACAGCTCTTCGGGGAAAAAAAACTCTGTGAACCTCAGCAAAAAGATGAGCAGGTCCTTGGTTTAGCCAGATAAATCTAATGCTAGAATTTTTACAGTCGTCCACGAAAGAGTACATTAAAAGGGTTATCATATGAGTATTCAGAGATACTGTTGTGAGTTCTAGGAGCAATCTGATCATTGACTTCCCCTTTTAATAGAATAGTGAATTCTCCAGTAATTACCATGAGAGATATCAGAACTGTGGCATCTGAGAGAAGTTTCATTTCTGAGTAATCGGATACAGTCATTTGGCATGTTCTTGTCTCATGACTTGCATCAGATCATTCAGAGTAGCAGAATTCTGCAGCTGTAGGTATTGAAATTGTCCAGGGTTTTATTGAAGCCTAACAGTACCTCCCTCACTATATGATCCCAGGTGGAGCACTGCTGTCGTATCCTTGAGCAAAGAACTTGACTCGGATTGTTCCAGTGAAATGCCAACATGCACAAACCAGAACACATGCAAGTTGCTTTGGATAAAAGCAGCAGACAAATTAATAAATGTGTGCTCTCCCAAACTTCAAAGGGTTATTGAAAATAGGAAGCTCTCTGCTAATTGAAGGGATCTGTTTGTTGACTTAACTGAACATATTTCCAAAAACACAAAGGTCTTTCTAAGTTGATTTAAAGGTATAGTAGCTCTGCTACCTTTTCTGGCCTGCATGGAAGGTGTCATTATTTCCCCTTTCATCAAGTAATTACGCCAAAAGGCCCAAAAGGACCTGAGTATGAAACCTGAGAGGATGGTGAAATTTGTATGCAGTTTAACGTTTGGTGTACTGAATCAACTGAATAGCTGAACCACCTTTTTTTAAAGGTTCTCAGACTGGTGTTTTTTTTTATCTTGTTCCTTTGACATATGTGATGGTTGAGTTGTTCAAATAAGTCAGCAGTTTCTGATGCAATCCCTTACACAAGCCAAGGTTAGAGGTAAAGGTAAAAATTGTGCTCTTTTTTTATTGCAGTTTATTTAAAGCTTGTGGTGTCAGGAGCAGAGAGATATAACTGGTGCTGTACATAACATAGAATCTGCAGAGTGCATATATCTATATCTCGGGGATGCTGTATCTTAACACACATGAATACAAAGTCACTCATGTGGCAGACAGGAAGTCTCCAAGCCCTGCTTTGTGGTTTGCTGTTTCACTTCTCTTCAGGAAAGAAGGTTTTACTCTGGCATCTCAGTGTGCAGTTGTGCAAGAACTGGAAATTGGTTTTCCCCTGAGGGCAGCAGATTCCTTTATTATGTGTTATGGACCTTATTAACACATGTGTGTGAACTGTTTGAACCAACAGAATGGAGGGGCTCGACTCAGGTGATATCTGTCAAATCTAAATCTTGATAATCTAATGTACATGATGTACATCCTGTGGAGGCAGAGCTGGGCAGCTTGCTGGACTGACCCTTCAGACTGAGCTTCTGTCAGGGGGCACGAATGGAGAGAAATCTTGCTTGTAGAATCAGTCTTTACCTTTCTATTATTATACTGTCATCTGTCTTCGTTACTTGAAATTCTACTGTACTTCTTCATTTCCGGGATGGTTTTAAGATGTGCAGGCTGATATACAGGTGTCTGTAACATGCACAGTAAAAAACTTGCAGATGCAAATAAAGGATGACTTGCAATAATTTTATAAATGCTCACAACCTCTCAGTGTAGCCACTGTATTTTCTGTTGCGGTGCAGACAATAGTCTGAAAATGGTCTACCAAATAGTCTGAGACTAACATAACATCACTTTATTAGCCTTATACAATTTCTTACATTAGGAATTCATCTTTTTGCATATCCCAGCTTGCTTTCCATGAGACACTGACACAAACA